GGTCCAATAATATAGATACAAAAATGTGGGATATGTCAATTTGTGATTATTTTAGGGGGGGGGGGGTCAAAAGGTTAAATAAACCCATGATTTTAGGGGTATTGGTCAATTACTTAGCTTTGTTTCGACGAATTTACAGGTAATTTGTGTAAAAAAATATATTTTGCAGGTTCCAAGCAGGGATATAAACAGTTTTAATTTTTTTATATTTTTCCACGATTTCTCTAGTGTCAGAATTAGCCATGTTGGGATTACGTGGTAGATACATGTTGCATTTGCCCGTGAATGTTGGCATCTTTAACTATTAAACAACTTTTAAAGCTTGCAGCTACAAACATTAGGTTATTCTGGACTGTCAAGTTAGGTTGTGATAACATAAAAGTCTAATTTATATTGAGTTTAAGTTAGCGTTCTTTTTCGAACCTATTAAATAACGGCAATTACCAAACCATGAATACTATAGCAAATTGTGTATAAGTATATTAACTTGGCTCATGTTTTCTGAATCTAATCGAACTTCTTTCTAAATAAAGTGACTCGTTATCCAAACCAGAAAACTAAACAAATATATATAAGGAGACTCATAGTTAAAGTTGTTTTTGAATAAAGTCGAACAAAGAACAACTTTAAAGGATTATTTGAAAAATGGAAAAACTTCGAAAAACATATCGTCGAAAATTACAAAGGTTGTTTTTTTTTACTTCAATATATATTCTATAGTTCGACATAATTCTGTGCACCTTGAAGAATCCAGCGAAATTCACTAAAACATTAACTTTAAACATCATAAAACATCTATTTCGTTTCATAAATAAAATCTGCCTCCCAGTGGTTCAATGGTAACGCTAAAAATTGGGTTTCGATACGCGTGATGGACAAAGATAGCCTATTGTGTAGTTTTGTGCTTAACCAGATAATAGTTTTCTACGTATTTCATACTTATGATAAACTCCAAATTATTTTAGAGTTTAAATTATAAGTTAATTACTTGGCATACTACTCCATCCTAAGTATTGAAATAAAAACCTTAAAATGTGTTTATACTTTAACAAACAATGATCGTGGTATTTAGTACATCTCTTGTGAAGTTGAGCTCCAGTACGTTGGAAAAACAACAACAACAGCAAAAGTCAGAATTCAGAAGTCTCAAGTAGAGGCAGTGCCATGCCGCCACGAGGTCGAGAGTGGGTAACTGCTCAGGCCATGCTCTAGAATTGGATAAGAAAAGCTGTCTGCAAGACAGATATATTTTAATGATATTATTAACTAGTTTTCTGTCAAAAAAAGCTTCTCTGTTATTTTTGGATCCTTTAGTTTCTTTAAATCGTGTCTCCGTGGGCACAACACAGATATCCCATTGTGTAGCTTGGCGCTTAACAACAAACAATACTTTAAATAACTGCCCCTCTCCAGTGACTCAGCGGTAAATTTGACAGCTTATCAGGCTAAAAGTCTAGTTTCGATACTCATGGTAGGCAGAGCACAAATAGCCTATCGTGCAGCTTTGTGCATAACAACGAATGAAAAACAAACTAATTTTTGTTAGTTCCTTACAACCACAGTATTAAAAGCGAACTGAAATGTTTGTTCAGTCTACTTTATATTCTATTTCATTATTTAGAAACTTCTGTAGAGATTTATAATAGTATATAATATTCTTTAATTTTTTGCTATAAGTTTTAAGTAGAGGAGGCTTTGGGGTTAGTTTCAATCTCTTTCCTTCATTCTTTATACATTTTACTATTTTATATGTATAAATTCCCATCCTAGTTTCAAATTTTGATAATAACGTCCGAAAAAAGGTTTGACATACGATACGTACTCTGTCAGTCAAGGCGAAGGCTAATTTAGTTTAGCTTAATTTACTGTCCCCCAGTGACACAGCGGTATGTCTGCGGGCTTACAACGCTAGAATCCGGGTTTGGATATCCGTGATGGACAGACCACAGATAGCTCATTGTGTAGCTTGTGCTTAACTTTAAACAAACCTAAATTTAATTAGTTTTTTATTTCATTATTTGTTTTAAAGGACTCCTTAACATCATAATTTCAGAGTATAATTTACTATCACTAAATAATGAGCAAGGTTTAAGACTCTAGCTCTCAATAATTTTAATTCAATAGCGTTTGAAGTCTTTCTAAAAATATATATAAGTTGTAAACAGGATTTAACTTGTTTAAGCGCTAGTTGTACGTCCAACACAACCAAGTAAAAAATACCTTATTAACGGGATATCACAGTAGTACTTCGTTTTTATTGTTTTCAATTAATAAAATATTCTACATACATTATATTCTATATAAAGAGTATTCTCTTTCAGAACCTATCTTTGAATGAAATGGCTGGAGGATTATAAATCAGAAATAATAATTCCCGAAGACGAAGTAAATTGACAGAAGCATGTTCACGATCTCTGGTCATAACTTGCATATTAAATATCTTTCCCGAATCTGTAAAGCGTGCTTTTAGTTAATGACTGGCTACTAGTCAACTACCAAAAACAGTCATAGAAGAAAGTTAAACATACAGTGCCTTACAAAATTATTCCCCCTTGCAAAGTTTCCAAATTTTGTTGCCATCTGAGCTGGCAAACATGAAACTTTCAAATCGAATTTTATATTTAGAATCTACACAGTGTACTCCAAACTGAGAAAGCTGAAAAACGATGATATTAAGTAAATAAGTTAGATTTTCAAAGAAAATTAGAATATTCTCAATTGTATAAGTGTTCAACCCCTTTGCTACGGCCACCCTAAATCATTTCATGTACAAAAAATTAATTTGAAAGGACACAAAATTAATTAAATGGTCTCTGTCTGTGTGTAATCAAGGTGGTTTTACTTGAGTTCCGAATAACTTCATCTGTTCAAGCCACAACTCACATTGTGATACGACAAACCAACCATGAAGATCAAAGATCTTTCCAAACAAGTCAGGGATAAAATGATAGAGAATCATAGGTCAGGAGAAGGTTACAAGAAGATTTCAAAGTCGCTGATTATCCCTTTGAGTACAGTGAAGTCCATCATTTAGAATGGGAATGTACTTCATATCATCCAGTCACTACCCAGATAAGGCCGCCCTTCCAAACTAAGCAAACAGCCAAGCAGGAAACTGATTAGGAATGCCACTGTGAAGCCAACAGTGATTTTGAAAGACTTGCAAAGTTCCATGTCTGAGATTGGAGTCAATGTTCATATAGCGACAATATCTCGGTTCATTACACAAAGCTGGCCTGTATGGACAAGTGACAAGAAAGAAGTCATTACTGAAAAATAATCATCTTAAATCTCGTATGGAGTTTGCGACAAAACATGTGACAGAAGGTTTTTGTGGTCACACGAGACTAAATTGAGCTTTTTGATCTAAATCCAAAGCGTTATGTTTGGTGCAAGTTCAAAGCCACACTGGGGTGGTTTAAAAAAAAAAAGAACTGAATATTTTGGAGTGTCTCAGTCAAAGTTGTGATTTGAATCCAATGAAAAATTTATGGCGAAACTTGAAGATTGCAGCTCATCAACGATCCTCAACGAACTTATCAGAATTAGAACAATTTTGCCAGGAAGAATGGGCAAAAAGTACAAGGTCCCATTGTGCAAAAATGGTAGCGACCTATCCAAATAGACTCACAGCAGTAATTGCTACTAAATGTGCTTCCACCAGGTACAGACTTAGGGTTTGAATGCATATGCAATCAGCAAATATAAATTTATATTTTTTCTTTGTAGGTTTTGCTGACATTCAACTTCCTTCACACATAATAGTGTTAAGTTTGATCATTAGAGTTTTGAATAACAACAAGTTAATTAAAAAAAATGTTTACATTATCTGAATTTCATCAAAATGTGACATTATCGGTAGGAGGTGAATACTTTTGCATTTTATGTTCACCGTTGCAGCTAAGGTACGGATCTCTCTTGGAACTGCAAACAAGACAACTTATATAGATTTATGTTCCCACAAGTGAACCAGCGGTAAGTTTACTAACCTACAAAGTTAAAATCAGGACAGAAAGCAGATAGCCCATTGTGTAGATTTGCACTAACAAAAACAAAACAACAATAATAAATTTAACTATACAGAAGTGTCACAAGAGCCCCGTTCATAAGTTTCTCCTCAAGCAACATAGCTGAATGGAAGACCAAATGTTAAAAACTGTACAAGCGGTATCTGATATGTGACAAGTAGAGGTTTGTCATCACATTGGAAGTAGAATATGTGTGAACATGTCTGTAAATATCTGGGCAATTTATAATTGTTACTGGTGATACAACAGTTCCAAAATTATGCAAGAAATGTCGTTACAAAGGATTTATGGTGGTTGTAGATTGCGGCTATAAGTTAAGTTAAACATCCAGAAGGAGCCCAGAAAAATGGTAACAAACTCTGCATACTGCCAGACTAACGTGTTGACGCCACTAATGCACGAAAAACGCCCAATATTTAATATAAAATTTAATATATCTGCCATCCCATAATCATCAGATATTGGTATTCCTGCATTATCTCTTCCATCGTATCATTTTGTTTACTTTAATATATTTGGTGGGATCCTTACTATTAAATTCTACATTTTCAATCAACCTTATTCATTTGTTTATTTGATTTCCTAATTTCATTTTGACCTACTCTCTTGATTTCCTATAATCCTCCAAATCTCCTCTCATTGCAGTCAATTTATTTGTTTGTTTATTGCGAAGCACAGAGCTACACAATGAGCTGTCTCTACTGTGTCCACCATGGGTATCGAAACCCAGTTTCTAGAGTTATAAGTCTTTAGACTTATCACTGAACCACTGGTGGGGGGGAGGGGGGTAGCATTGTGGTCAATTTTAACTTTTTATATTTATAATGTTTTCTTTACTTTTATCCTTTATACCCTTTTATGAACTAATCTGGTTTTTACTTGCAGTCACCCTTTTTTGTTTTACTATATGGAACATGTTTATTTTGGTAACTTAATAATTTTTAAAAGTTTTCTACATTTGGTCAGTATTACCTACTAATTCAGTTTTCCAATTTACAGCACATAATTTTTGTCTCATATCTTCCAAATCTAACTTTTTCTGAAATTTGAACAAAAATCTCATTATTCCTTATCCCCATAAGTAGCAAAAGATCAAATCTAATTGAGGAATCATCCCTTTCACACAGATGTTCCCAGACTCTACCATATCAACCATTTCTTTATTAGAATTTAACAATAAGTCTAAAATATCAATGTGCCTAGTAGATTCCTTAGACAATCGACGAAGAAAACCATCCTGAACACTTTTAGAAACTGCATCCCTCATAATTTGACTATAACAGTCCCCATATGTATAACATCATTAACAATTTAATTGTTTATCTTAACATGGAATTTCTCATTAATTCCATCAACTTCATCTGGTGGTCTGTAACAAATTCCAACTAAAAGCCTTCTCCCCTTATAACCACTAACAGAAACTCCAATAGGTTCAACCTTATTACTATTGTTACGTCTCCGTTTGTTAATTAACTTTCCGTAACTTCGTTCCGACGAAACTTTAACGACACAAGTCTTTACTT